CACTTTTTTTTACTTTTTAGATTATTCTCACTTTTTGCGTATTCTTTAATTTCCGTTAATTTAAATTCAGTTGAGTTTGACACTTTTCAAGATTTTGCCAGCAAAAATTCCTCTGACTAAATATGACTAATTCGGACTGAAGAGAGTCACTCTCACTGAGTGTTGCTCTCTAATTTTTGCTGTCCATTTTCGAGTTAAGGAACGCTTTTTGGACTAAATCTGACTACTTCGGACTTTTTCTCACTATTTCTGGGAGATAAGGAACACAACTAATTACAGAGCGCATATTCCGAACTGCCTTACGGCATATTTACATTGGACACTGCTGTCAAGACAATAAAGAAATACGTATTAGTTGTCAAAAACGCTGATAATTGTCTCCGTGGCGTAGGCGTCTTGACAATAGTTAAGACAATTCATTTAGAGCAAAATGCCGAATGTGAACGTTGAATTATAAGTTGCAGAAATACGCATTTCGCGAGAGCTATTTGAGCTAAAAACTAAAAAATTAAAAAAAGGTAAGAGACAAAATTACATACACATCAGCGTCTTTTTAATTATCATAGTTATTTAGTTATGAATTTCTCTTCTTACTTGCACAAGACGTCAAAATTATTATCTGAATAAGTCAAATCATTGTCCGATTTACTGTCTTCAAAATAATCAAGACAGTGATTGCGACAATTGAAGAAGTTTGCATGCTTTAGTAAAAAAGTGTTCATGTATTGCTATTGTCATGACAGTGCAGATAATTATCAGGAAGAAGAAAAATGGGGAAATTGAGGGCATTACGCTCACAGATAGCGAAATAAAGATATAGTAAAGAAACGCAAAACTAGCAAGTAAACAGCTGATCGATATATTTGACTAATGAAAATATTTGGCGCGAACTTTTGTTTATCCGTTTTGACAGCTGCTAGCCAAAAAAAATAAGAGCGTGTTGAGGACATGGACGAATGAGGCGTTTTTCTATTCATTTTTTATTCCACATATGTATAAGTATATATATATAGTATATAAGCTTTTGAATTCGTGTTAACACTAAACACATCCAAAACCTTGAATTTTCTGTGAATTTTATACCAATGTATACATTGCAGTTACTAAACACTAAACATATCTAAACTGAATTTCCCCTAACATTACATGTATACAAATGTACACATTGTATCATAAACGCTTGCACATACATACACATATATTATAAAAGTTTGTAAAAATCCTAACGTTTAAAAAAACCGCGAAGTGCTCGGGCACTCGCAATCTAACCCTCGCTCAGCATAGACTGACTATCGTTTCCTAACTCTACTACAGTCCACTAAATTTTAAATCTTTAACGTCAATAAAACCATTGAATTGTTATTTACATTATTAAAAAAAATTAATCTTTTATTTGCACGGAACTAAACACAGCCCCACTAAGTTGCCAAGAGCGCAACATATGGTCCTTAGCGAGCCATTCGATTTGAATTGGCAGCACTTACGGCGCCTAATCTGGCTACGTATAGAAAGAGGTACACTCTTTTCGTAGAAGTAAAATCGAGCGGTTGATTGCGAGCGGTGCGCGAAGAAAAAAAAAACTCAAACTAACGAAAAGGGAAAAAAAATTTAAACAAAATCTGAATCAAAAAACAAAACTAAGCAAAAATAAAAAACAGTTTAACAAATTTGAACAAAAACTCTAACTTAATAGTGCGTGCTGTGGCGTACAAAAGGCAAGTTTCGGGACTGTGCACATACATATGTACACACATAAGTACATATGTACAAGTAAATGCGCTTAAAAGCGAATAAACAAACTAACAACTCAGTGTGCCTAAATAGATAAACTAACAAAGAAAAAGTTTCAAATAATTCGAAAAAAAAACACAAAATAATAGAACGTGAAAAAAAAGATTTGTTTCTCGTGGGTTTTCAAGAAAACAGGAGAACCACGGCAGCAGCCCCCGGCAACTTGGATTGCACACCACGATAGAGCCCTAGAAACTTAGCGTTTCCATCGGAAGCAGCACCATCGTCAACCGGTGTACATCGGCAGCAGAGCAGTAGCAGCCAACGCACACAACAACAACAACAACGACAGCGACAGCACAAAGGCAGCAATCGGTACAGTAGAGCAGCAGTTCCTAAGCAAAAAGTTTGTACCCAAGTCAAATGCCAAAGTGAGTTACTCAAAAACATATGTACATATATGCATATATACATTTTATAAAAAGTTTAGCGGATTTTTGAAAAAAACGGTAAACGGAATTGCTCTATTTTTTCATTTACCGTTGAGGAAAAAAACCTCTCATTTCGCAGAGTTACCGTTCACCCGGTCGGTACATAAGCTCACAAAATCACATAAACACATATATGTATCCCCGTATCTCTCTTAAAATCGAGGAAAAATCCGCTAAACTACGTACATATATATATATATATATATATATATACACTCCCTCACGGACATATAAATCATATAAGCTCATCGCAGTAATATTTGTTCACTAGTAAAATACGAAATCACGAATATTGTCAAGTGAAAGTTAAATTTCCTACTGGGAATTTGCAAACAAAATTTCCAGTTTCCCATCTCCTACTCACATCAAATAATATTGCTTCGGTCAGCTCCCTTTGCCTTTGTACGTTTGAACTACATAATACTCCAGCGCCAAAAATATATGTCCATAAGTGTGCATACATACTTGTTAGTAGATCAAACAGCCCATGTACATATTTGTTTTCAATTTGGTCTCTAAGCGCCAAACTACAGCAAACGGCTGACATAGGCACACACGTACATATATGTACATATACCTACTCTTTTGTATAATTGGCAAATTAGTTTGATTTTGTTTTTCACTTTGCCCCGCGTTCACATACAAAAATACGTACAAAGCTATTTACACGAATCTCAGTGCAGGTACCCGCGCATACATATTTCCGTATCTTAATTGTTTTAGAGCAAAACAAGTACACCCAATACATGCACGATTGAGAGAATACAAAGGTTGCGCCGATCTCGGACCGCTATTCCTCTCTTAACGAATTTGACAGAATCGTTGTTTGCATGATGTCACACTGGTGCAACTTGTTTACGTTTTTCCTTGCAAAATTTTTTCTTCTTCTTCCATTCTTGCTCATGTTTTGGCATTTCTCTCTCGCAATTGCACCAGTGTGACGTCACACAAAAGTTATTCTCAAAAATCCTCTCTGATCGGCGCAATCTTGTATTCTATCATTCTTGCAATACATGCTATTGTGCTCAGATGCGCTGAGGCAATACAGTGACTCCACAAATTATTCGTATCAGTGCGAACGAAATCCGATTTTGTTAATTCCCCAATAAGCCCAAATTTTTAAATCAAAATAACTATTTTAAATAACACCCCAGAAATTTAAACTATTAAAATAACTTTAAACCCCTTCAATTTTTGCGAAAATTACGCACTCGTACATATACATACGTCCACATATACTTATATAAATTCTATTGTGCTCAGACGCGCTGAGACCATACAGTGACTCTCAAAGTTTTTTACAAGTACTCAATTTATAAAATTAACCAAATAATTAGAAAGAGCACTTAATAAATTAAATTAAAATGGCCGAGGAAAAACAGGAAACCCCTTCCCTCCAGCCTCCTCACCAGGCAACAAAAAAAACACGGTCAAAGTCCCAAGCTGACGACGTGGAATTTACCAAAGCGCAGAAAAAATTCCTTTTCGAAATTTCTAAGCTGGAAAAATATTGCGCGAAATGGTGGAAGATTTGCGAAACAGGCCACTCGGAAGCCAGTCTCAAGCTTTTCTTGGAGGAACTCAACAAACACTTGTCATGGGTGGAGAACTCATACGAAGCGGTATACATGAGCAGCTCGGACGAGAAATCCAGTAAGGCATGCGAGGCGAAGTACGACACCGCGGTAGACACGTGCATAAGTACCAGGACGCGCATCAACGAATTACTCAGCGATCGCCAACCCGACATGATGGCCGCCAGTAACATCAGCAGTTCAGCACTACCAGCCCCACCCGAACTCCAAAACTATCTAAAAGTGCCTGCTTGTGACACGGAAACATTTTACGGTGGATATGAAGACTGGCCGTCCTTTAGGGATATGTTCACAGCAGTGTACATAAATCACCCCAAACTCTCTCAAGCCCAGAAGCTTTATCATTTAAGGCAAAAAACTCGAGGTAAAGCTGGACTCATAATTAAAAATTATGCACTTAATGACCACAATTTTGAGCTGGCGTGGGACGCTTTAAAGTCTCGATACGAGAATCGCAGAATTCTCGTCGACAACCAGCTCAAAACCCTTTTTAATATTCAACCCATTCATAGTGAAAATGGGGAAAAAATTCAGGCAATACAGACCACTATTAACAATTGCCTCTCAACCCTCAATGCAAATGGTGTATCCACAAAAGACTGGGACCCTATGCTAATATACCTCTGCTCCTCAAAACTCCCAGACGAAACTCTCGCCTTATGGGAACAATCACTCAACTCAAGAAAGGAGTTGCCTCTCTGGTCCGAAATGGACCAATTCCTGACAACACGGTACGAAGTTGTAGAACGACTTAGTACGTATAGGCCAAATAAGCCCAAAGGCTTTAACCAAAATTACCCTCCTAGCTCATCAACCCCTAATAAGAATAATTCTTTCAGCTATAAAAGCAGAACCCACTCATTTAACGCTGAGATAAAAAAGCAGGCATCTTGCAAATTATGCAACTCCAACCACTCTATGATGAACTGCGTCAAATTCAAGGAGCTCTCAGTGCAGGATCGCAACAAATTCATAAAAGATAATCACTACTGTAGGAACTGTTTAGCCTTCTCCCATTCAGAAACTGAGTGCCATAGCAATTTTACCTGTGTTTACTGCCAAAAACGGCATCACTCTCTTCTCCATTACCCCGCTAAATCACAAACAGCAAATACAGGCACAAGGCCAAAAACGAATCAGGCGCGACTTCCACCCCCAGCGAATAGCCACTAATTATGAAATTATGGGAATGGGTGGCCGCGTGATGCAAAAAGCGAACAAAATCTGCGCTATTACCATTTGTTCAGCCGATACAACCATGAACATAACCACAAACGCGATAATCCTCCCGCAACTCACTCATTTCTTGCTATCGTTCAAAGTTACATACATTGAACTGCAAGAATACTCATCTCTCCCTCTAGCGGACCCTAACTGCTTTACTCCAGCTCGAATAGACATGGTATTAGGAAGTGATGTCATCCCCCAAGTGCTACTTCCAGGCCCAAAAACCAATGTCGGTGGAAGTTTAATAGCGAAAAATTCAATATTTGGGTGGATTTTGAGTGGCCCAGTAACAGAGCACGTCTCATCATTCACGACCCAGGTAATTGAGAACTCGACAGACACTCTGAACGATCTACTCAAGAAGTTCTGGGAACAGGAGGAAGTACCATCAACCCCGACTCTCACCGACGACGACGTATTTTGCGAAAACCTCTACGAAAGGTCCACAGTTCGCAGAGATGACGGTCGTTACGTAGTAAAACTCCCCTTCAAAACTACCTTCCCAGACACGATTGCACTTGGACACTCAAGACCTGCAGCTCAACAACAGTACCTCAGTATCGAGCGGAGCATCGAAAGGAAACCTGAACTGCAGCAAACGTACACCAAAGTCTTGGAAGAGTATCTGACCCTAGATCACATGGAACCCACAGCGTCGCAAGAGATTATACGTGATGGGAAGTATTTTTCCTTTTACTTACCCCACCACGCAGTTCTAAAGCCAGATAGTAAAACTACGAAAGTGCGAGTAGTTTTCAACGCTTCCAAACTGTCTCACTCTGGCATTTCTCTAAACGATATCCTCCACACGGGCCCCGTACTTCAAAATGATTTAATGCTCGTTATCCTCAAATGGCGACTGTACAAATACGTTTTCAATGGTGACATTGAGAACATGTACCGCCAGATTTACGTACAGCCAGAGGAACAAGATTTCCAAAGAATCGTATTCCGTAGAACCCCTCAAAGCTCGGTCGAAGATTTCAAATTAAAAACGGTGACCTTTGGTGTCAATTGCGCACCATACTTAGCTATAAGAACGCTGCATCAACTAGCCAAAGACTCACATGACAAACACCCAAAAGCCGCTAAGATTCTACTGAACGAAATTTACGTAGACGATATACTGTCAGGCGGACATGATCTCGACTCGACACTCACTTCGATGAATGAGGTAATTGCAGCACTAAAATCAGCAGGTTTCCCATTAAAGAAAATGACAGCAAACCACAAAGATATACTCCAAAATATACCCACATCTGACCGCTTAGAAGCAGACTTCCTCCAGTTCCAAGAGTCCAGCTCCACAAAAACCCTCGGAATAAAATGGAATGCCCTTAATGATGAGTTTTTATACTCAATCGATCCTCTTCCAGACTCTAATGTAGCCACTAAAAGACAAATTTTGTCGTCCGTTGCTAAACTTTTCAACCCGGCAGGGTGGCTAACGCCAATGATGATCCAAGCCAAAATGTTACTCCAACAACTCTGGATGGAAGGTACAGGCACAAATGGAACGCATTTCAAGGAAACTTAATAGCAATCAGGGAAATCCGGATACCACGATGGGTTCAGTTTTCCCTTAATAAAACCATCCAACTTCACGGATTCTCAGACGCATCCGAAAAGGCCTTCTGCGCCTGTGTCTACCTCAGAGTGGAACACAGCGAGAATCAAGTATCCTCTCATTTGCTCGCAGCGAAAAGTAAGGTTGCACCCTTACAAACAGTTAGTCTACCTCGCTTAGAACTCTGTGGAGCAGTCCTTCTCTCCAAACTAATCAAGCAATTCAATCCTCACTCTGGTCAGATTCCTCTATCGTTTTGGCCTGGTTGGAAAAACCCCCATGGACATGGAAGGCATGTAGCGAAATGAACCTCTCGCATCCTCAGCATCATCATCAGCAACGCCACTTGGAGACACGTATCCAGCTCAGACAACCCTGCAGACCTAGGCACAAGAGGATGTAAGCCACAAGATCTAGCTCACTAAACCCTCCACGCGTTGGCCAAAGATCGCGCCTCTAACTCTCTCTTCCCCCGAACAAAAATCGGTGTAAGCGTACCACACGATAGAGAATGAAGACCTTCTCAATCGATTCTCGTCATTTCCCCGCGCACTTAGGGTAATCGCCTACGTATATCGATTTATCCACAGTGCACGGAAGGAGCCAATACCCACCACATACACACTCACCCAAGAAGAAATAGGTTTCGTTAAAACGCGTCTCATCATATGTGCCCAACGTAATCATTACGGAGAAGCGGTCGCACAGCTCGAAGCCTCCAAACCCATAAATAAAAAGAGCTCGTTACTATCTTTGAACCCTATGCTTGACAAAACAGGTCTGATGCGCGTAAACGGCCGTCTCAAATACGCCGCACTCAGCTATAATGAAAGGCACCCTATTATAGTGCCGGAGGATTCAAGATATTTCGCGCTTTATGCTGATTTTCTCCACTCGCTCTTACTACACGCCGGCAAACAGTTAATGATTCGTGCAGTCCAACAGGAGTACTACGTACCTCGCCCCAAACAGAAAATCAAGGGGTTCATCTTCCACTGTAAAACGTGCACAATCCACAAACAAAAGATTAGATCCCAAATCATGGCTGCTCTACCTCCAGAAAGATCCACCTACTCACTACACTTCCACACCACTGGAGTGGATTTCGCAGGTCCATTCTTGGTGAAAACATCCGCATTACGCCGAAGCTCATACACGAAAGCTTATGTCTGTGTATTTGTATGCTTCTCCACGAAGGCGATCCACCTCGAACTCTGCTCGGACCTGACAACTGAAGCCTTTAAGGCAAGCTTTGCCCGTTTTGTCGGCCGGCGAGGATTACCACACAAAGTCATGTCAGACAACGGCAAAACATTCGTTGGCGCACAACGATCCATTTATAGAGAACTCTCCAGTTTTTTCAAGGACGTCGTTCCAGACATTGCTGAACATTATGCCGTACATGGTCTCTCATAGCAATTCATACCCCCATATTCTCCTCATATGGGAGGTCTCTGGGAAGCTGCGGTAAAAAGCTTTAAGGCACACTTCAACAAAGTGGCAGGCAATCAAAAGTTTTCCTTTGAGGAGCTCACCACTCTCCTCATACGCATCGAAGCGGTCCTTAATTACAGACCACTCTCTCCCATGTCTCAGGTCCCAAATGATTTGTTAGCATTAACTCCAGGTCATTTTCTACGCGGAGGCCCTTTACTCTCCCTACCAGAACCTAACGCTGAAAACCTCTCCCTGGTGAATAAGTGGCAAAAATTGAAGGTGCTCCACCACCAGTTTAGTACACGCTGGAAAAACGAATACCTAAAGGAGTTGCACAAGAGAAACAAATGGAAAGGACTCGAAACAAACATCACTGAAGGAGACTTAGTCGTCCTAAAAGATGACCTCCTCCCCCCAAATGAGTGGCGCCTTGGACGCATCGTAAAACTTTATCCCGGTCCTGATCAAAATGTTCGCGTAGCAGACATCCGTATCAAAACAGGAGTTGTCACTCGCAATATTGCGCGATTATGCTTATTACCCCCCTCATAAATGTCTTTACTAATCATTACGCATATTTACAGATGTGCGGCTTCATGTACAAAATCCGTAACCTTCACTCAACTTCACTCCTTTATTAACCCATCCATATGCACATTACATTACGTTCTCATTTTCACATTTTTCACACTCATCTGGAAATACGCTAATGCTATTTTGAAATTATTTTCTTCCTAGGACAAGTGACGAGCCGATGGAGCCGAACAAGTGCCGCTTATGTTGCCGCCCTCACTCCCTGCGCTATTGTAAGGCGTTCCGGGCTATGACTCCAGAGGACAGGCATTAATCGGCGCGGGCACACAAGTACTGTGTGAATTGTCTGGCCACCTCACATGCCACAGGAGCTTACGATTCACCGGCCAGCTGCCACCGATGTGGCAGAGCGCACCACACGCTACTACACCGATCAACCTCGCCTGGGAAGAGGCAAAAGAGGTCGACTCAAAACGGTCGAATCGCCAATCGCCGCACCATCCGCAAACCGCCACGAAGCCTCCAGAGCCACTCTGCCGCCAGACGTCGTCAGATCCGGGAGTTGCTAAACAAAGCCCAAGCTATTATCGAGCAGCTGAAGGAGTTGTTGCCGACATCCGCACAGGGCGGGCGCCATGTTGAGGACATGGACGAATGAGGCGTTTTTCTATTCATTTTTTATTCCACATATGTATAAGTATATATATATAGTATATAAGCTTTTGAATTCTTGTTAACACTAAACACATCCAAAACCTTGTGCATTTTTACCAAAACCAAAGTAATAAGAAAACTTTGAACAAAGCAGTGAATGTTCAACTGAGTCAAATGCTTTTGAAGAGTCAAGTAGACACAGCACCTTTGTCGAAAGAAATTCGCAAATCGTCCATAATTTTAACCATCGCGGTTGAACGTCCATGCCCTCTCCTAAAGCCTGATTGGTAAGGTGATAACAAGTTTTTGGTAGACATGTGAGAGGAAATTTGCTCAGACATTAAAGACTCTAGCTCTTTCGAATAAACAGGCAGGACACTAATCGGACGAAAATCACACGAGGAACGCGCATTTTTTTTTTAGCAACAGGACAAACAGAGGCAACTTTCCATAAGTGTGGGAAACAAGATGTCGTAAAACAGTGGTTAATTATATGAGTCAACAGTTTACACATTTTACATTACATTACAGCATTACTAATTTTATAAATTTGATCGGTAACCCATCCTCTTCAACTGCATTCGACTTAATTTTCAAAATGCATCTATACACGTCGTCTTCCGATACCGCTGAGAGCTCGAAAGGTACGTCAGAGTAAAAGGCCGAAGCAAATGGAACAAGTTTTGACAAGCAACCGTTAGACGAAGCACTGCACAGAAAAGCGTCATTCAAACTATCAATATTTAACATATACTTAGGTTGGTTCTTGGAATTTATACGAAGGTTTTTAATATTTCGCCACAAAGTAGCTGAAGGGAGAGAAGGATCCAGCTTGACTGCAAAGAAACGCTGCTTTCCAGCTCTAATAATTGAAGTGGCTTTATTCCTTGCCGCGCGAAAAGCATCCCAATTCGCGCTAGTACGACTTCTTTTCCATTTGCGGTACGCTTTGGTACGAAATTGTATGGCCCTTAGGACTTTCGAGGTAAACCATGGACACGAAGTCGTTTTGGCATATCGTAGTGGAACGTGAGCGTTATAAAGAGATAATAACAAATTAGATACAAAATCAAGTTTATCATTCACAGACTCATAATACCCACATTCACACCAATTAACATTATCTAGTTCTAAGTATAGAGCACTCAAGTCAAGTGAGCGAAAGTCCCTATAGGCATATATTTTTTCTGCTTTACTGACATTAGAATTAAGGTCAAGGGAACAAAAAATTAAATCGTGGTCAGAAATAAAAGAAATCTGGTCAAACCTTAACACAGAAGAGCGATCGGAAACGACAAAATAGTCAAGAAGACTAGGGTTACAGTTGTGGCTGTACCTAGTAGGCACCGTGGTGTTGACAACAGAGAGACCAATACTTGAGACGTTATCAAAGAACGAGGAACACAGCGAATCACGAACAAGAACATTTATGTTAAAGTCACCACAAAGTATGATATTTTCATAATCGACAATCACCTGTAACGAAGCGTTTTCCTATTAAGGCCCCGATGCTTCTGTTTTCTATGCTGGGGTATACTCGCCGTGCCCAGGGTCCGTTACAATAAATTTATANGATACCGCTGAGAGCTCGAAAGGTACGTCAGAGTAAAAGGCCGAAGCAAATGGAACAAGTTTTGACAAGCAACCGTTAGACGAAGCACTGCACAGAAAAGCGTCATTCAAACTATCAATATTTAACATATACTTAGGTTGGTTCTTGGAATTTATACGAAGGTTTTTAATATTTCGCCACAAAGTAGCTGAAGGGAGAGAAGGATCCAGCTTGACTGCAAAGAAACGCTGCTTTCCAGCTCTAATAATTGAAGTGGCTTTATTCCTTGCCGCGCGAAAAGCATCCCAATTCGCGCTAGTACGACTTCTTTTCCATTTGCGGTACGCTTTGGTACGAAATTGTATGGCCCTTAGGACTTTCGAGGTAAACCATGGACACGAAGTCGTTTTGGCATATCGTAGTGGAACGTGAGCGTTATAAAGAGATAATAACAAATTAGATACAAAATCAAGTTTATCATTCACAGACTCATAATACCAACATTCACACCAATTAACATTATCTAGTTCTAAGTATAGAGCACTCAAGTCAAGTGAGCGAAAGTCCCTATAGGCATATATTTTTTCTGCTTTACTGACATTAGAATTAAGGTCAAGGGAACAAAAAATTAAATCGTGGTCAGAAATAAAAGAAATCTGGTCAAACCTTAACACAGAAGAGCGATCGGAAACGACAAAATAGTCAAGAAGACTAGGGTTACAGTTGTGGCTGTACCTAGTAGGCACCGTGGTGTTGACAACAGAGAGACCAATACTTGAGACGTTATCAAAGA